AAGACAAACAGAACCCCATGGTTAGTTTATAGAGCTGCTGTCGTATTCAATTAAATGTTTATCCAAGTCCAAAATTTACGAATTCAAGTACAGATTATTCACATTCTGCTACAGAAAACAAGCAAATTACACTAGCACTGCTCGCAACTATATGTAATGGCATCTGGTGCTGATGCTGCTACTACTTATGCTGCTGTTGCTACTACTACTACTACTACTACTACTACTACTACTACTACTACTACTACTACTACTACTACTACTACTACTACTACTGCTGCTACTACTACTACTACTACTACTACTACTACTACTACTACTACTACCACTGCTACCGCTGCTGCTACTGCTACTGGCTGTTGGAACCACTCCTGTTTCTGCTATATACCACTAATGATGCTGAACATTACTAAGGCTGCTGCCACTACTACTACTGATGCTGTTGGTACTGCTCCCATTTATGCTATTACTAGTGCTGCTACTGTTACTATTGCTGCTGCTAATACTAATACTACTACTTCTACAAAGGCTGCTGCTACTACGTCTACCACTACTACTACTTACAACAACAGCTTGCTGTCACTACTAATGCTACCACAACTGCTACTGCTGCTGGTACTACTACAACAACAGCTACTGCTGCTGTTACTGCTACTAATGCTCCTACTACAACAACAGCTACTGCTGCTGTTACTACAGTCTGTCTCACAGTCCATGAACCACATCATTTTCCATACAGCCTAACCCTCCCTGCAATGCTACAACCTTAAATAGAGCAAGTCTATATTTCCCCAGATTCTGAATCTCTGGTCTCCCTGGGGCTCCTTTTTAATTTAAATAGGTTTATTTGTTACAATCAAAATTATATATATTCAGAGACTAAGCGTTAGTCTACCGTTACTACTACCAATGCTACTACCACTACTGCTGCTGTTACTACTACCACTACTGCTGCTGTTACTACTACCAATGCTACTACCACTACTGCTGCTGTTACTGCTACTACTACTACTGCTGCTGTTACTACTGCCAATGCTACTACCACTACTGTTGCTGTTACTACTACCAATGCTACTACCACTACTGCTGCTGTTACTACTACTGCTGTTACCACTACTGCTGCTGTTACTACTACCAATGCTACTACCACTACTGCTGCTGTTACTACTACCAATGCTACTACCACTACTGCTGCTGTTACTACTACCAATGCTACTACCACTACTGCTGCTGTTACTACTACTAATGCTACTACCACTACTGCTGCTGTTACTACTACTAATGCTACTACCACTACTGCTGCTGTTACTACTACCAATGCTACTACCACTACTGCTGCTGTTACTACTACCAATGCTACTACCACTACTGCTGCTGTTACTACTACTAATAGACCAGGGCCTCGATTTTCGAAGCTCTCTTAGTGCTAAGCTAGTCTTAAGTTAATGTTAAGGTATGGAACTTACGACTATCTTAGCGCTAAGAGAGCTTCGAAAATCTAGGCCCTGGGTTCGATTCCCCACATGGGTACAATGTGTGATGCCAATTTCTGGTGTCCCCCGCCGTGATATTGCTGGAATATTGCTAAAAGCGGCGTAAAGCCATACTCGGTCGGTACCACTACTACTGCTACTCCTACGCCTACTACTGCTACTCCTACGCCTACTACTGCTACTCCTACGCCTACTACTGCTACTACTACTACTTCTGCTGCTGTTACTACACCAAATGCTGAAGCTGTTACTCCTTGTACAACAACTGCTCCCGCTCTACTGCTACTGTTATCACTATGACTGCCACTACTATAGGACATAGTGGGACAGGTGGAGTTTGGAAGTCATTAGTGACTGCGAAAACTACAATCGAGTGTTCGAGTAACAGATCCTGAGAATCAGGATCCTGAATCAGATGCGGGGCTACGCGTGTGCGCACGCACTCGCACGCACGCACGCACGCACGCACGCACACACACACACACACACACACACACACACACACACACACACACACCCCTCCCATTTGTGTGCTTGTGCTTACGTTCCACCAGAGTAGCAGCATCTTAGACATGCATCCACAGGCATCAATCTTCAACCTTTTCAAAGTGGCGTTAAACCATATTCACTCACTAAATAATTATGCCAATTGTGACCGCTATACGTCGTCTTAATGCAACTACTGATACTATAACTTCTGATATATTTAGGTGATACAGTTGCACATTATTAGTGAGTGGGCGAGTTTAGTTATACGCCACATTCAGCAATATTCCAGCTATATGGCGGCGGTTTGTAAATAATCAAGTCTGGACCAGACAATCCAGTGATCAACAGCATGAACATCGATCTACGCAATTGGGATACGATGACATGTGTCAACCAAGTCAGCGAGCCTGACCACCCGATCCCGTTAGTCCCCTCTTACGATGCACATTATTAAGGGGACAAGTGGATTTAAAGGTTTAATATATGCGGTAGTTCTCTCAATGATATACGTTGGTAGAAGTTGCGGTGTTGCTCGCAATGAAAGATTTTGTAATTTATGTATGAATGGATGTAAAGAAGATGAATACCATTTTCTATCAATTTGTCAAGTTTATTACATTTTAAGACATAAGTATATTCCTGAATATTTATGGAAACATCCCTCTATTTATAAATTTAACGTATTATTCATAAAGTAAATATCCTAATTAACTTAGCAAAATTTGTAAAAGAAGCTTTACGGTTAAGTGTTTGAAATATGTATCTAACCATTCTGTCACTATCATTATTATTTTGTTGAGTTTTGTACTTGGGCCAGTGGCCTTTATACTGAATAAACTTTGAATTGAATTGGATATTTATCTCAATAGCCTCTCTCTATCTCCCTGTACAGACTACCATCCCCCATCCACCCACCTGTACATACGGCTGGGACTATGACTAATACCGTATTTGTCATAAGTGTGGAATGTGTGCGACCGTCACTCTCAAGCCATTTGTGAACACATGTGTTGACTGACCTTTTCTCCTGACCTTTTAATTATCCAGACTCGCGTGTTTATTATTGTGAGAAAAAAGTGACACACGCACGCTTTGACTGATAATGGATGCTCCCCATCTCCGCTACATCCTCCGACAGTTTATCAAAATAGACCGAGATTTATGAGAATTCGTGGTTCAAAATAACAGAGGTCATTTTCATTTTCAACATACAATAATTAACATCGGAAATAGGAACAGGTTAAAAGGGAAAGAGCGCGTCTTCTGTAACGTGCGAAGTTATCATTTACCAAATTGTCAGCTGAAATTAGAGATATTAATTTTACCTGCAAGTCCTGAACATTTCAGTGTAGTTTATTATTGTACATAAATGAGGGATGCATTTAAAACTTAACTGCTCTGCATTACAGTTTGTTTTATTGCCTAAGCATTGTGTATTGCATTGTATGGTCGAAGCCACGATGATGGAAAAGCTTGGACCGGCGCCCAGTCTAAGGGAGATAACTCCAAATTTGTATACCGACGTGTTCTTATGTCCTGTTGAAGATAGGATTATACAGACGCTTCGTTCTCGATGGCAAGGTGGCACCGGCCGAAGTATTAAATGGCTAACTCTCTCAGACACTGAATACGGTCTCCGAGCTGACCAGTCCTTGTTGTATCCCCATTATGCCAAGCACCAAGCAGGATAACAACAAACACCATATTTGTATGGTATGACTCAGTCTAGGAACAACCCGCCAACAATTTGTACTCCTGGCAGACGCTTTGTCGACTAGCCTAGTTTTGTTTTAAGTGAGTAGATCAGTATATGGCAAGATGTGCGGGTTTTATTCCCCAACACTGGGCAAACTATTTGGAGTGCCGGCATTTCTCATTTAAGCAAATATCGCCTCACTACACGTCACGATGCCTTACGTGATGTATGGTTGTTGATAGGCCAAAAATAACGATTTTCAAGACGCTTCTTTCGATTAGTGCAGCTTCGCAAGGCCATCCATACTTTTCATGTTTTATTTGTTTGTTGGTTTTCGCCGCTCTCAGCTGTATTAAAGCTGTATGGTGGCGGTCTGTAAATAATCGAGTATAAACCAGACAAATCCACCTATCAACATCATCAGCATCGATCTACACAACTGGGATACAATGACATGTATCAGCCAAGTCAGTGAGTCTGACCACCCGACCCCGTTAGTTGCCTCTTATGAGAAGCATGGGGTACTGAAGATCAATTCTAAACTGGATCTTCACGGGTAACTTTCTTATGTTTTTCGCATCTCCAACCACCAAGAGCGGAAGGGCAAAAAAAATAGTTAAGAAAATATTTTCCCACTAACAGTGTAAGTTATTTTATGAAATGTTAAAATCTAGTTCACTTGCTAATAGTTTTAAATAGATGTTTGATGTAAGCCGAATGGTTATTTTCAACACTTTTTCAATAAATGTAGGTGGCAAAAGATCAATCTGACCTGGTTTGTGCAAGAGAACAGTACTTTTAATCACCCAGGGCATAAATTTCAACAGCGGGAGGAAATCTAATTTTTTTATTTCACGACGGAATGTGGTGTCTCCGAACACCCTGAACCACCACCACCACCACCACCATCCCATCCCATCCCATCCCATCCCACCCCACCCCACCACCACCACTCCCACCCCCTCTGGATCCGCCACTGCCTGGCAAGTAGTGGGGAAATATCACAGGTAAGAAACAACTCTTTAGGACACTGTGTGTTATAACAGGGATAATCTACAGCACGTCTTCTATTCTGCATAGCGACAATCAGTGGATTGTCTGGTCGAGATTCGATTGTTTACAAACAAATCGCACAGCGGTAATACTGCTAAAACAAATATATACTCAAGACATGGTCACAACTGTACAATCGACTCTGCTTTTAGCAGAGATTTATGGATGTAGAAAATGTTTAGTCGCTTCTGATATACAATCGGAAGTGCCAACGTCAAAAATGCACGTAAATAGCCGAGCTATTCTTATTGGTCCGTCGTAAGTCTAACATGGCGTCAAATATGGCGGTAAATGTAACTTGGAAAGATTTACTTGCAGAAACACTGGACATGAATTATCTTAAGTAAGGTAAATGAAACTTTAGTTAGTTTCGAGGTTAAGTCTTTAAGAAAATATTTATAAAGTAACAGTCAGCATACAAGGTTAAAACTTCAATGCTTATTGTAAAGCCCAGACGTTTCTTCTATATAAAAGACAAGCATATTGTGAGCCCAGATTATAGTTTTTTTAATACGTTATATACAACCTGCACAAATCAGCTTCTGATAGATCTGCTTTCTGCCAAGGTTAACTTGTGCAGTAATATGGAAATTGCAACCAAATATACTCTTACTTTCGAAGGATTTAAAGACTCGACACTGCTCAAAACTGAGAATATGTCATTGAGAAAAGCAGACGAGATTATTGTTTTGAATGAATAAAATAAACAGGTCGATGTGTACATGTAAAGCTGTGTTACAAACAATTTTCTGGCATAGACAAATACATCTAAAAAGTATGATGTCAGGCTCCCAAAAAGATTTTTTTCTTGAATTCAACCTTCACTGATACTGCATGAAAGTCTCAAAGGGCGTGAAAGGTGCTAATTCTACACCTGCTTCTTTACACAATTAATTTCTGGTGTTAGGGAAATAACAAAGGATTAAATTTACTGGGTTTTCATTCAATAGCAATTGTCAAAACTATAAATACAATTCCTGGAATTACTTGTATATTTATATTATGGTATTTCTCTTTGAAAGAATACCCAGTTAAGACAAAATATACAGTAGTGCCTTAATAAGATAATGACTTTCATTGCTAACTGATTGTGTAATGAAGTTCCCCAGGTACAATAGCACAAGATATTAAAGCAAGTCATGGCAGTGTGGGTGAATGGTCTGTGCAGTCTGCCATTTTCTCAAGCTTTGAAATATATTTATACTTGATATTGATTTCGGTAAAATACCTTTCTTATAAAGAGTATGTAAAACAATTATGAATATTAGATGTATGATGTGAAAATGAAAATGTATGTTAGTTTACATGTCTAACTGGAATAAGGTCAGTGAAAATTTGGACTGTGAGCACTTATGAAAGTGAGTAGTATAAACTCATGACTGTCATATACTATTGCCAGCTTGTAATATTTTGTATTGATGATGTTACCTGTTATGTTTTCTTGAGCAGGGTATCGATATAGATCCAACAGATCGATCACCGTTAAATGAATATTAATCGATGATCGATAAATATCGAGAAGTAACTTTATGCAAAAAATGTCCAAAAAATCTATAGGAAATCAACACTTTTGACATGAGTGTTGAGTGGTGACATAGTTAGGCTTGGATTACCAACAAAACACATCCCGAACATACTTTTGGAGCAGCCCTTGAATAAAGACCTAACTTTGTGTATATTCTGAGAAAATTATAAATTATTTCATCACAATAGTTCATTTACGATATTAACGAATACACACTTTTCATATCGATAATCATTATTAATAATTCCAATTGATGATGTTTCCAATTATTGATCTTTTTTAGAGAGCCAGAATATTTTCTTTCTTTTTAGATGATGATAAATGCATGATCCACTACTATGATTTGGGTTCAATTTCCACTGGTTATTCTCTCAGGTAAGGTCCTGTATTATAGCAGCAGATAACATGTTGCTTCAAGTTTTTCTGTATGAGCAGTATTTGAATATTACTGGCTGCATAAAAGAACATTCACTCATGGTTAAAGGTGTTCTCAAGCTTAGAAGAATTTCAAAATTTGGATGGAACAATTTGACTTGCAAGGAAATTAAAGTAATAAAGCTTTGTACATTATCATGGAATTTTCTTTTCTTTTTAAAGTTTCCAAGGCATTTCTGTAAATTAACTGTACAGATTCCTTTCACAACCAGCATAAATGTTTGGCAGGGTATTTCTTAGTGATGCAGACAAGGTATGAGATTTCTAGTAAATATATTTGCTAAGCCCAAAGAAATGGAATAAGTATTTATATATCTTTTCAGTGTTTTTGTTCCTGTTTGGAAGAGGCAGCACCATCCAGATGTCCTTGACAGCTTCCTTCACCATGTCCCGTGACCCTTCTTGCATCCACACCACCAGCATATCAAACACCACTGCACTCCAATGCATCACACCTACTGGGAACTGTGACCAATGGATACAAGTATCTGTCATGGAACCTGTTCTCTTCACAGGAGTCCGACTGGCAGCAGATGGACTGAACACAGATTCAGATGCATTGCAAGCGTTCAAAATAGGTTATTCACATGATGCTTTGACCTGGAAACATCTTAATGAAAAAACACTAAAAAAGAAGATTAAGAAGGTATTTAATCGTAGAATACATGTTCTGAATTCAAACCTGTATTCAAAAGCATTGTCCCAAAGTGAAAATGAGTTTTCTCAGCACTAACTGAATAATGAGAATATACACCATGTACTTGTAGGCCTAGTTTTCTTAAGTGATGCCATTTGCTGTGCAGTTTTCTACCTTTAGCTAGTCAGAAAGCTATGAGTGTGTGTTTGAATCCCAGTTCACCATGATTATTCCTTGTTTTGCCAGCAGCATAATTGTCCAAAAGTGAAAAGGAGTTTTCTCAGCACTCACAGTACCTTTTTAAACTTGTAGACCTAGTTTTCTTAAGTGCTGCAATTTGCTGTGCAGAGTTGTGTCCCTTTAGCTAGTCAGAAACCTATGGTTGTTGGTTTGAATCCCAGTTCACCATGATTGTTCCTTGGTTTATCAGCAGCATAATTGTTCTCATCAATTATACCAAACTGAGCATCAGAGATCTGTTACACTCCAGGCTTTCCCCCAACATCAAGCTGACAGTAAGGTAATTGAAATGCTGTTCAAGGTTGCATCAAACATTAAACACTGATTTATTCCCTATGTACAGGGTAACAGAGGTAAATCTGCTGCTGTGTACACCATCTCCTACCACTTTACAGCCAAACACCTTCGAGTTGATCTACAGGTAGAGGGGAAGAGGAACAGAACATGTCTCCACTTCGGCCTCTCGAAACAAGGTGAGAATTGGGTAACATGTCACCACTTCAGCCTCTTGGAACAAGGTAAGGACTGGGTAACATGTTACCACTTCAGCCTCTTGGAACAAGGTAAGGATTGGGTAACATGTCTCCACTTCAGCCTCTTGGAACAAGGTAAGGATTGGATGACATGTCTCCACCACAGCTTGTAGTAATATAATGATTGGGTTAACTGTCCATTATTTAGCTTGGAAGTTAACAATGATTGGTTTCAGCAGACCCTAATAGGGAGTCCCTGACCCTGGACTTTTTTTCTTTAGTTGCACCATAGTTTTATCACCATCTTGCTATTGTACTTCTTTTATGCCATTAAACACATTCATAAACACAGCCATTAATCATTTGGTCCAAGACTTCAGAGGAACTATTTGTTTTCCACCAAAGGCTATGTAAATTACATAATCTCGTCATAGTATCATATGCAGATAACTTAAAGATGTATGTATAGTCTAAAATGTCATATATTTTGTAACCTACCTACTGATCTGACCTTGCACAGAAAGAATTGGTGTCAATTTGACACAATTTTGCAACTAATAACATCTGTAGGCAAAGATTAGAAATAAACATTGGAATGCCCAGCACATTGATTTTTTAAAGGAAATATAATGTCCCAATCTACTAATTTCATGAAGCACAGATAGAACTGAGCTCATTTTGACACAATTTAGCCACTGATTACATACGTAGACAGAGATTAGAAATAGGTACTGGGACATTTAGCACATTGATTGAAATGGAATGTGGAGTCTGAATGTTTTAGATATTAGCTAATATACATTGTTTTGTTACACACAACAAGTCTCTCCCACAGATGCTGTACCAGTGTTGCCTGAGAGTGTAGGACAGACATACTTCTTCACAGCCGTTTATCAGCTCCCTCGTGTCAACATCAACAATGCAAGGAATCTGTATACAAGGTGAGACTCATTTATCCCATTCCCTCATTTAATGATATAATGAGTGAGTGAGTTTAGATTCTCGCCGCTTTAAGCAATATTCCAGCAGTATCACAGCGGGGACATCAGAAATGGGCTTCATACAATGTACCCATGTGGGGAATCAAATCCGGGCCTTCATCTTGAGGAGAGAACACTTTAACCACTAAACTAATGCACTGTACCCTTAATGGTATAAGGGGCTACTGGTGGCCCAGTCTTCAGTTTATCAGACTCCTCCTGTCAATGTGAACAACACAAGGAATCTGTATACAAGCTGGTACTCATCTATCCCTTTCCCTCATTTAATATCATGAGGGGGCACTGGTGGCTCAGGAGCGCCTTATTTCCTAACAATATACTGGATCCCATACTTCATCGTTTATAATACAGAGTTTTACTGGATCAGTGTTCCCGCGGGGTTTTTCAACAGCCGATGACCTCATTCACCGGTCCTGCACGAAATCTGCCAGTCACAAAATATCATGAAAAAGACAATGAAATTAAATTAAAGATGATGCGTTGCACTGTTCTTTCAGAGCTGATTTTTTTTAACAACTCTTGGTAAAGCCATTTAATTTGCCAGCAAGCTCACATATTTTACAGTACATGATAACAGTCTGAATTAAATTTCCCTAATTTACTAGGTTATAATTTTGCAGACTGATTGCAACTTGAACTTCAATCATTATTTTGCACCTTAGTGTTGTTTGTTTCATCATCCTCGATAGCCAAAACCTTACATTTACCTCCCCCAAAAATGGAGAGCATCGTCTGCTTTCCGCTTTCCATTTCGACAGACACATGGTATTTAAACAATCGGGTAACATCATTATTTTCCATGATTTCCTGGACAACAGTAATTAGAGTGACGTTTCCAGGTAAAAAACACATCGATCATTTCCGAATGACTTTCAAACTGACCAATTACATTGCTCGTAGCATAATCAATTTAGAGGGAAACCTCATCTCACTCTCAAATCGTATGTGGCCGATTCTATTAGTAGAGAATTATTTTAGCGATTTTATGTTAATTTTGGTAAAAAAAATTGCAGAAAAAATAATGGTTTGGGTATTTTTCCTGTCATGGTGACTAATAGCTTCCAAATTTATTGGTCCTGGACAATTTTTACCGCAAATCCGGTTAGAGCGTCCGCCGGAGAGCAGAAGGTCGCGGGTTCGATCCCCGACCACGTCATACCAAAAGATGTTAAAATGTGGTACTTGTTGGTCCCTGCCTGGCGCTCGGCACTAATGGGTACAACAAGGACTGGTCGGCTCAGAGTCAGTATAATGTGTCTGAGTGGGGTATTCATGCTTCACTGCGGCATGGTATCTCAGTGGGCTAGCACTATAAAACCAGCAAATCTGGGCTAGTACAAGCAGCCGCACATACACATACACACCCATGCACATCGTCATATGAGCGAAATATTCTCAAGCACGACGTAAAACCCAATTTCACCTCACCTCACCTCACCTCACCTCACCGAAATTCCAGTATATACCGGAGAACGGAAACACTGTGGATGCAAAACATTGTTACCTCACCATGCACAGATATTTCACTACTGTCTTATAGACATTCAAGTTGATATGTCCTTCTTTCAGAGAATCAGCACATCACTTTAAAACAGGTCGGCACATACTACAAGTCTCAGAACTATCCCTGGATTTAAGGTGGGCTATACCATTGTAATGTCTGATCATATTAAACCACCTACCTTTCCAAGCTTATTATTATTATGAACATTATTGCCTCTTAATAATGTAATAATAAGTATTTGTGCGTAATATACAGTGGTGAGGAAAATGCATGCCTTCTGTGCCTGATTCCGTTTACTGTTAGTCAAGCAGATTTGGGTAACAATATGAATGGGTAATGAAATACAGCGTGAAGTCAACAGTCGAAACATTATTCATTATATTCAGTGAAACAATAACAAAAAACATTCTTTGACATGCTTTGGCCATGTTGTGAGTGTTAATTTATCTCAACAATGACCAGTGACTACATTACTGTCGAATTAAACATATAAGACTGTTGACTATTATCCTGCATGGGTTAGATATATTCCATTTTGCATATCTCTCTTTTATAAATAAAACCGATATTCAAATAAAAATACTTTTTATAGAAACTTCACGAATATTCTTGTGATTGAAATGACAAATTAAATTCGTGAAAGTTCATGGTTTAAACCACTGAATATGAGAGTGATGATGTTTATTTAAGTCTCACTATGTGAGTGAATTGTAACAGCCCTACTATGAACATCTGAAGCATCAAGATAACCATTATAATCCCTAGTTGAGTGTCTGTGCTCCACAGTTGTACAGCAGGATGTGGAGGAGAGTTGGGTGAGTCTGTGACTCTGACAGTAACCTGCTCTAACTGTGATGGACTGGGCAGTGTCAGCTACATATGGGACTTACAGATAGTACAGTTGGAAAACCTGCCCCGAGAGGTCTGGGAGGATCGAGCTACATTTGCCAGCAGTGATACAACACTCACATTGCCTGGCAGCTTCTTCAACCCTTTCCAGTCCTACGTATTCACCGTTTCAGGTAGTCATATATTTTATCAAATTATACACTTTACTGTCAAATAACTTAAGGTAACTTCCAAAATGTACATATTTTGTAGGGATGATGGCAAATTAAAACATTTACCCAAGACCTCAATCAGAACCAGCCTAGTTGGTTATCGACAACTCATGGGGATGCAAAGATGGATTTGGTTACCAGCAGCCTGGTTCGTAAGAGTTGATGAAATAGATTGTGTGGACAGATCTACAGACTCATGTTTCATGTGTATTACGGGTTATCGGACACTTTAGAACATATTTGTTTTCTCGTCAGTCACATGAAGAACTGTAAAACATGTTGTATGTGACTCACAAAACACAACTCTTGCCTCGTATGAGTATGTACAATGTCTGTGTGATGCAACTATTATAAGAATCAACTCTGCCATCCAAAAACATCATGATATACATGTATGCACTAATAAAGCACCATCTGAATCCAAGGGAAACTTTTAAGATTTAGTTCCCAACAGGCAGTCATGCCCAAGCATACTGGAATGTACATGCAAAACATGTGCATCTCACAATATCTCAAAAACTATGGGTCACAATTCATGTGCTGCTAAGATCACAAACGTGGTGGTGGTGTAGAAATTTAAGTTCATGAACCTTATATTACCGTAGATAAGCCGGTCACCAGAAAAAAAGTTTAACGAAAGTGTTATCCGTAGATAAGCCGACCCCCTTCTACAGGCTGCTTTTTTGGTCTTCAAAATTCGGCTTATCTACGGTAATATATGGTATGTGCACTACAGTGGCCCTGTGCTCATGGCTCAGTGATAGTGTGGGGTTGCATTTTGTATGACTGCAAAATTGTCTCAAAATTGTCAACACTCAATTGTCAATGTTATCAGGAAGTACTCAACACTGCTGTGCCATATTTTCATACCCGTCCCCTTGTCAGTTGTCCAATATTCATGGATGACTACACCAGACCTTACCATTTTCAAGCAGAACAACACCATCGAAACATTACCATGGTCCACATTAGGATCCCCAGTATGAACTGATATGGTCTCCAGTGATGGTTCATACAATCACAACAATCATTATTTGAGAACTCTGTGACAATCAGATTGATGGCATTGTTATAGTGATCAAAATCTCTGCCGTTTTGGATGTTCAACTTTTTGTGAATTCCTCTCATATTGCAAGTAAACTGTAAACAAATACCAGTTCCAGTTTTGTTTTTGTTTCAATCAAAGTAAAGTATGTTACAGTGACTAATTCAATACACAGAATTTGGATTTCGAAGCAGATACAATCATACAACATGTAGTGTATTCATACTGATTAAAACAAATAGTGGGTGGTGCTTCAAGATTAATGTGGTGTGTATATAAGCCAACGATACATAAATGCCTTGAACAATTTGTTTCAAAAGTATACAATATAAAAACAGACATGCCTTTTCACATTATATATATTCATTGATGATAGTCTGATTATGAATTTATTGTGGTCTTAACAAGATACTGATATATATGCAGGTACAGTCTCAGGGACAGAAGGGACAGCCAGCTATACTATCCCAGAAAGAGGTGGGTGTTACATCTGAGAATCTTTCTAAATGAACACACTCAGCTGGAGATGGCCGCTGTAAACCTACCGGTACATGAGTGTTGCTCATTATAGACTATTTTGATTTTAATATGTCAAGAGCTAAGGGCTGTCACATAGTTTTTCCCTCATAGATCCTGAATCCAACTCACATTGTACTTGATATGCTTCACTAAGGAGCATATGAAAACTGTGACATGATTCACTTCTTAAGACACTTACCAAAGGTACAAAATATGAGCACTTATTTTTAGATTTTGCAAAAATATACGCAGTTGGAACTGGGCCTGTAAAGACTAAAACATTTGTGCTCATCGATTGTGGAAAATTATTGTACCTTTCGAGGAATCACTTAATTGTATGGTATAGACCACTGTCATACTGAATATTGCTGAATGTTGCTTTTAACAACAAGCAAGATCATTTAATAAAAATATATGTAAAGTATGAAATAGATGTTCATAAAAAAAAAACATCAAACTTGCTTCCACAGGAGATATTACTTTGGTGAGATAAGTGATTTCTCGCAGGTGATGTCGCTGCTATGAAATTGCATCAGAATGCTTTGCAGAACATTATGATGTCATTCATTACCATAATATTACAATCAAATCCTTCTACCACTGAAAGCATGTTTACTGTATCTGTTACACTCAAGACACTGGTTATTCCTGTTTCTAAGATGCCTAGCGTTTAGAACAATCGAAAAAAAAATACATTATCAGACAATAAAGGTATAGTTTTTTGATGACGTAACAATTGAATGACGTTTTCCCGTCACTGCACCATTCTAGTGTGCCCCCTCGTAATCGAATTATTTTACATTACGTCACAATGTAAGCGATGTCACGATGCATGTCAGTTGTCATCGCCTCGTACGGCCTCCGACAGTAAACTACTCCGTTGCATCCCGTTTCTTGGTTTGCAGTTGCTTCACTCAGCTAACATCACTGGTGGAAGCATTACATTTATGTTTTACGACGGATAAAATGTGTCAATTCGACTCACAGGTTTTCAGCGACACGGTAACGTTCGCAATGTTTACATTCCCACAATGCAATCGTGGAATGTCGCTTGACTACTCAGCTTCATCTGGATGTACTGATCTAAACTTACGTTGGTAGTAGAAATGCGACGTTCATATTGCCCCATATGGTTTACGCTAATGACAGATGTAATTAAAATAATTCAGAGAAGATATTTAATCCGAACGTAAACCGTCATCAAACTGTCATCAATTCTTTTTTTCTGGTAACGTTCGACTTAACGTAGGGGGGCAGACACATCAATGGAACAGCGCGCCAGTTAGCCCTGTGCGAGGATTCTTTATTTAGGTCACCGACACCATCGTTTGTTTTCTGCCTTAAATTAATCGTAATTATCCTTAGAAAGTATTAAATTTAGCATCTAAGAAAAGATGTAAAGTTCGCTCTACCCCAATGTGTTTTGTAATAAAGTATAGTTTTGCCCTGAACTATACTTTATTACAAAACACATTGGGGTAGAGCGAACTTTATTTCCTAATTACAAACTGGAAAACTAGGAGGCATGGTTTTTAATATAAAGTAGAATTTTACCCTCATCTTTTGATATCAGTTGTGATCAGCACCCCTTGATAAAAGTTGAAAAGCCTCAGTTGAAATGTTTATCTTGTTAGTTCTCTAAATGTATGCAATATTTGTAAAGATTTGATCATATAGAAACCCAATGATCAACCTGTTGCCTTCTAAGGTTTGAAAAAGGTTACATATTAATCTTAGATACTGACATTTCATTTAAAAACAGAAATATGCAGCTGACAAAACGAAAACTGTAAGGGACTATAAACATAAGATGATAAATGTTATGTGTATCTATTTCAGAACAGACATTATTTATCACAACCAACATTAACGCAACCTCTGCAACGGTTGACAGCCGAGTCGCCTTCTTAGTGCTGCTGAACGATTCCGACTCACCTGTGTTGATTGACATTGGAGGATATGACCAGTGCACACCACAGTTCAACACCGTCTCAAACTCAACAAGAAGGACATACCCACTGTCCATGTTTTTACTGTCAAAGAGCACAAAGGGGATCAAATATGCAGTGTTCGACACTCAGTTTCAAACAAATGGCAACTTCATCGTCAGTGCATCAACAACAGATTCCCCATCCAGTTCCTCTCAAGTCTCTGTTTCAGTAGTGTATGAGAACGAACAAGTTGGTGTATGTACTAATGACACTGTTATAAACGAGACTTCGAGGACACTTCAGACTGCTAAAACATTGAGCTATTCCATGGATATTAACTTCCAAACCAATGGACGCACTGGATGTCCATCAGTTACTGAAAACTATTCATGGTTCATTCAACATTTCAAGTCTTACGACACAAGTGTGTGCACTACAGAGGAAGACTTCGAAGCGGTAGATTTGTATAATGTCAATATACATGATCAAGTGTTTTCTGTTACGTCGGGAGATTTATTAGAAGGTTATTACAAGGTGTGTCTGGCTTCAGAGATACATAATAATTCGGTCTCACTTGGCACAAGGACTGTTTGTGTAAGTACATATGTGTTTGTGACATGTTTTCATTCTCTAGACATTCTATTTTTGCATAAGTGAGTTATATTTATTTTTCTCAAAACTGGTCAGTGACTTAAGGCTTGTTGGTGAGATGGTCTCCTCAAGTAGTACCAATTGTTTTCAAGGCAACTTGAGACGACCTTGAAGATTCAGGCTGGACCTGGTCTTCAGCAAGACATGCAATTAACGGGATCGGGCAGTCAGGCTCACTAACTTGGTCATTGTATCCCAGTTGCATAGATCGTTGCTCAAGATGTCAATCATTGGGTTGTCTGGTCCAGAGTGAGTGAGTTTAGTTTAGTTTTATGCCGCACTCAGCAATATTCTAGCTATATGGCGGCGGTTTATAAATAATCAAGTCTGGACCAGACAATCCAGTAATTGGGAACATGTGGTCTGGTCAAGAACGTTGTCATTCTTGCTGCGTTAAACAACATGCAAGTCAAAGCGTACGGACTGGAAATCGAATATGACTGCTAGTGGCCGAACCAGACATATTGAAAAACACCCACGAGTAGTTGAACATGTTTAAAATGTAATAGCGATTGGTGCATGGTACAAATTTGAACTGAGTTTTGGTCGAGGAAGGTCTTTGAATAGGTACAAGCTCGTCTACTGAGAGTTTCTAGTGCTTTGGTTCATCCCCACACTGAAACAAATATTTCATGCGATGTGTCCTTAGGCAAGTGACTGTTCAAAACATGTCATTGGTCAGCTGGCAGTAAATTGGTTCCCAGTAGAATGAGATATCAAAAGTACTGTATCTTCAATATTTATTTTTTGGCATCTATGTGTGGGTTTATTTTAGCATATTTATGTTTAATGCAGTGTTCACGAATCATGTTTGAAAGGAACAGGACATTGGGTCCTGTAAGTTTCAGATGTCTGTCTGACCCATTGAAAATTCACAGGACCCATAGAGTAAAATTAAACACACATTTCAGATTTAGCATTTCTTATAATTGGCACCAAAATCATACACAAACATAAGATTTATAAACAGCAAACAGGTGTCACATGTCCCATATAACAACTTCAGTCAAAGTCATTGTGAAATATACAGTCAGACACTGGGGCCGGCGGGTTGTAGACTTCTATCGGACCGTTGGCAAATATGCCGTATTTGTCAGAGGGTCAGACGCTATTCGTGAACACTGTTAATGGATCACTGTCTGCTGTGGAGCTATTTTTTGACTCTCTGAAATAGCTGAGAAATCAGTTTCGCCCTCAGTATTTAATCAGAGAAGTTTTAACATTACACATTCAGGTGAATGTGTCTGTATTTATTTATTTCAGGGCTTTATTCAGTTACAGGATGATGTAATCAGCTCAGAAATTGCTGCGGATAACCAAGATGCCATCAGGTAGGACTAGAATCAATGCAGTCCCTTTTCCCTATATACTGTTTGAAAGTATTGTGAAAAGTCAGAGATATGTCAGTGTTTACATCAGAGGATATGGTCAGACAAATTCAGATGATTGATGTAGTGAGCTAATTATCTTGTAACAAAAACTGTAAACCAGTTCAAAGTTTGTATTAAAGGAAGTGAGCCTTGTGAAACCCTGTTGTTAGAATTTAAGGTTTTAAGGAGCCCTTCATTCAAATATATTGTTTTTGCAAAAACAGTCTCAGGTTTTTCTATCTGGAAACAGGAGTTAAGTTACAGATTTTACATTCGGGTGAATACATAACCTCTATTACATCACTGACTAAAGTGCTGTGTTTTGGCTGCCTTCACAATATTCTTCCGATTTTCAACAGAGGTCCTGTGCAATGTCAACTATTTGTAATTATTCGTGCAAGTACTAGCATCTTGCTTGGCATGTCTCTTCTCTCCTTAGTAAAGTGATACCAACACCTTCAAAATATGTTTTGTGACAGTTTTTCTGGCACATGAAGGGGACAGATGGACATGTGCCCTGAAAGGCAATCCGTGAAACATCAGAACAAGAATCTGTATCAAAACATGACACATACAACAACAAAATATGGATACAAGCATATATATTGATTGGTTTGTTGTTGGTGTGTGCCATGTTATTCTTCACATACAACAACAAAATATGGATACAAGCATATATATTGATTGGTTTGTTGTTGGTGTGTGCCATGTTATTCTTCACATACAACAACAAATTATTGATTCACATACAACAACAAAATATGGATACAAGCATATATATTGATTGGTTAGTTGTTGGTGTGTGCCATGTTATTCTTCACATACAACAACAAAATATGGATACAAGCATATATATTAATTGGTTTGTTGTTGGTGTGTGCCATGTTATTCTTCACATACAAGAATCCTTTCATAAGGGTGTTTCTCTCACCAAATCTGGACAGTCGACAATTTTACAGAGTTTCTTTCTATGTAATTATGGATGTCCAGCAAGTTGCTGTGGCCTAATGACTTTATCTTCTTTCCCAGAAATGACCTAGGTTAGTATCACAACAGTCCATGAAATTTGGTTATGTCTCAACCTATCACAGTTCCACCCTTCTTCAATGCCAAGCTTCACCAAGGCATGGAAGAAGTTCACTGAGAGAAATGTCAACTATCTACAATGTATTTAGTAGTTCACCTAAATTTCTTGGTGTTACAAGTTAAAAGATCATCTGATCATCCATACAGTCCAGAAGCATCAAGGAGGAGGTCATAGAGATAGCATGCCCAGTGGAAGAGGGGATCGCTGCCTTTAGCAGACCACCAGCAGCTGCTATGCAAACAAGTTATACTGACCTGGTTTGGGTCTAAGGATTTCTATTCTTGACTACAGGATTTCATCCTATCACTGACTCATGTGCCAGGGTGAGGACGTCTTTTTTCACAGCCAAATATGAGAAGCATATCACATCCAACCAAGGATTCTAGAAGACCTGACTTGGTATCCCAATGGGAATCCATCAGTTCGTTCTGGAGGGGACCTATTTGGCAGCACCTCCTTTGCCTTTATCCAGAGATGGTTTTATGTTACAAGACAAGAATTGATATATTCTTACAGATGGCAGCAGGGCTTCCTGTTCCCCATTCTTCCCTAGTCCTGAAGAAAAATCCTACAAACATGCCGATAATCATGGATCTGAGGTTCTCAACCAATCAATTCTAGTTCGTCCACTGAAGGTCAAGATGAAGCTTGTATAGATACCTCATACCACGCTCAGGGAGAATAGATGATCAGATTCAACTTAATTTGAACACAATATTCATGATTCAGTTCATGGCTCATCTTGATTTCCTTGTAAGTTGGTGTTTATACTGAAATTGAACAGGACAAACATTGCATTGGAGAAAGTTACAACTTTTCCAGAAGATTACTGTGTAGGGTTTCAGTATGCATGCTTGTCTCAAAAGGAAGTATCCCCATTCGTCTTTATCGTAGTATTAATCGTCGCCTCTTGTGTTTGCAAAATGTTATAATTGTGTATCGTTACTGCACACAAGCGTTCTCTGGTTTGGTTTCCGATTACAACTGATAATTGATCGATTACTACGGTCCGATGATCAAGCTGCATGTTGTGAGCAATAACCAGCATTACTCACAACAATGTGTGTCAGTTGCAAAAATGGAAGGCATTAATGGTGATAGTGCTGGAATATTGCTAAAAGCAGCATTACACCATACACACTCACTCACTCACTCACTCACTCATTTTACAATGCAGTAGAGTTTAGGTATAGCTAATGCCAGCCTATGATCAGTAAATAAAGATGAGGGTACGGCAGCTAAAAATGCTCTTTTGTGTAATTATGCCCAGACTACTGTTACATTTATTTTTTTCATTCTTTCCATGCATATATGTACCCGTCAACTCAGATTTTATTTGGTTATTGTGATATATTTCGTGTAAATTTGAAGCTAATCTGGAGCTTTATGTATTGAAAACATCCTGTTTCAGTTGTTCACATGGATGTCCCGAAGACTGCCTGGAGTCTGTGACTCTGACAGCACACTGCCCAGACTGCCCAGAATGCCCAGAATGCCCAGGCTACACATGGGAAATTAGCAAGCAAGGAGGTGAGCTGCTCCCTCGGCAGATGTGGGAGAATCGGGCTGTGTTCAACAGCGACAACTCAACACTGTTTCTTCCTGCTGACTTCTTCAACCCTTTTGAAAGCTACAACATCCAGGTCAAACGTAAGCTTTAGTATAAACTCATGGAGAAAAGTATTGCAGCTGTACATGTTTTTTCATAGTATGCGTATGTTACCATTTCCCATAGCAAAGAAACTTATACAAACCTTAAAGGCACAATGTAACACATTTTCGATAATATTTTGGCCTATATTATATATATTGAGGCATATGCGTTTACTTTAGCTTCCTATTGATGCAATGAAAGACTTATCATCCCTTAAATCTTGCCTAAAATCGATAATTGAAACCTCGAGGCAAACAGCTTCCAAACAGAACACTTGCCATATATGGATGTAAACAATTGCTCCGTACATCGAAAACTGTCGCTCGCAGTGTTGTCGGTGTTTCCTGAACTTGTTTCAATCACAAGTTGTGCGTAGGATATTCATTAAGAGCGCTCCAAGGGACATACCTCTATGGGGTTTGCTTGAAATAATGTAAGGGATGATAAGTCTTTTAATGCAACATTGCACTAATTCATTCGAACTTTTTAATTTAATATTTTAATATAAATACATAATTTATTTGGAATAAACAATATGGTAGCTTCCCTGAGGGCTGATAGATAGTATTATTGAGAGAAATGCATTATTATTTCTAGAGAAGTGTGGTGTGATATAGTGCCTTTAACTTACTGTCTGTATATATAGGCCGTCAAGGAATAACTGAATGCGATAGGATGGCAAATGGGGGGGGGAACTAGTCATGCATGGAAGCTGTTTAAACAGCGTTGATGACTAGAGGTATTGCGTTCCATTGTTGATAGGTGCTTTTGTCCAATACAAGATGTGGGACTGGAGGATCTTTCTGAAACCCATAATGTCCTAACTTGCTCCATGGAGTTGAGATCTAGACTCCTGGTGGGCCAAGGGCGAGTTCCTATGCCTCATGAAGTATCAAATGCATGTGCTTGATGTGGCCTAGCATTGTCATCCATGAAGACTGGCCTTGTGTTCAGATGGTCATCAAAATGTGGTACAACCCCCCTGTTTGTGATATGAGTGATGTACTATTGTCCTCTAAGAAGGGCTGTATCCTCCCTAGGGGTTGTCATGGTTGACCTGAATGCTGACAGTCCTTATATAACAGCTGATAGTTTAGGGACGCCTGCAAACATCTCTTGCAATTGCACTCATTGGCATGCCAGCATTCTGCTAACCAATAACATGTCATCTTTAAGAAATTATCATTTTAGGAGGTCCCATATTTATTTATCAAAATTGCTGAGTGCAGCATAAGACTGAACTAACTTCGCTCGCTCGCTCGCTCATTCTTTATTGATATTTGTGTGTAGTTTGTGGACATTAAGTATTTGCCTGTGCTCTTAGAAAGGGAACTTGTGTCATGACATTTTATGTTAGAGAGTGCCAATACTTTATCAGGATACTAACATACTGTCACAAGAATAGAGGCCTTGGCTTCCCCTTGTCCTTTGTTCCCATAACCATATGTTTGTATCCTGATAAAGTATTGGCACTTTCTATCTAACATAAAATGTCCGGAGTTATTTCAAAACACGTAAAGCTGCATCGTGTAATTCTAACAATTGACAGCAATTACAACATAATTACAGCTTACACGCCAAAGTTGCATGGCAGGACTTCTGCAGCATCAAGCAACAAACATGTACATATTTGTGCAGTTTGTGTTAGCTGTGGATGCCAACAACAGGAGAACATATGTTTAAACTATGTCTTTTTCAAACTCTTGGTGTCACCATATATGTGTGGTGATTCCTTCATAAAATTTTCTCCATTTTACATTTTATTCCCAATGGAATAAGTTTGGGCAGATAATTGAGACTGATTGTTTTGTGATGTTGACAATATATTTTACCACTTTGAAATGTACCTTGAATCATTATAGATGCAAGTTCACTTTCTGAGGAAGCAGTGTGCTTTATTTCATCAAAGGGTATGTATTACCATTTGGTAGGCGAAGTCATTTCATTCTCCTGCTGGAAGTTACTTATCCTCCGCAATGCTATTGACCAGTAATTACTTGACTTACTATTGTTTTCATGTGTACAGTTGTATGATTATGTGGGAATGAGGGTGTGTATGTTTAGTTATGTACCAAAAAACTGAAACCTTTATGCATATTTAAACATAAGTGATATTGGGTTCTTAACTACCGTAGGTGAAGGTCCATTCTTTGTAACAGGGTTTTATCAATAAAATATGAATTTAAAAAAATATAAATAAATAAAATATCAATGCCAATACTGGTATACGCACATTCAAAATTTCAACTATGTGTATCAATGTCATGCAAAATGTATAGATTTAAGTAAAACACAAACTTCAAGGCAATCTATAAGCTGACTGAATTGAGCAACCCGTGAAGGTTTAGGTTAGAATATGGATCTTTAGTAACCCATGCTTGTCGTAAGAAGCGACTAACGGGATCGGGTGGTCAGGCTCGCTGACTTGGTTGACACATGTCATCGGTTCCCATTTGCGTAGAACGATGCTCATGCTGTTGATCACTGGATTATCTGGTCAAGACTCGATTATTTACATATAGCTGGAATATTGCTGAGTGTGGCGTGAAATTTAACTCACTCACTCACTGAATTGAGCATATGTTTTATGTATGTTTTGGTTAACCATTTAATACCTTTCATTTTTAGTATATTTTTAGATATATCCTCATTACAGAGCTGTTTGGTTTAACCATGTTCTGTTCTAATAGAAAGGACTAAGTTAGGGACCGTTCATAATTTATGGCTGGGAGGGGTGATGATGATTTTAAGGGGGATCACCCATTTTGTTCTGAGGAGGCAGAGGGGGTCATCAGTTTGTACACAGAAATGTACACAGAAATGTTTAAAAAATTATGCTTTAACGTTATGGGAAGGGAGGGGGGGCATTGATTTTGTACATGACATGCAGGGCGGGGTCACTTACTTTGTACATAAATTTTAGGGAGGGTCATTCACATTGTACATGCTAGCCCATGAAAATCATCATATCATATCATATCATATCTCACACACACACACACACACACACACACACACACAAATCTTTATGGTTCATAATGTTATTTTAGGATACATTATTTTAATGTATATAATTTATTGAGAATTATCACAAATTACATCTCTTGAACTTGAGAAAATTTAGACCTTGTAATTTTGTCAATAATAATTATTATTTGGGGAGTCATGGTCAGAGGTATTATTGAGCCTTTCCCACATTTTTTGGCTTCTTATTCATTCCAGAGGACAAGATGTACATAACGTCCAACAGCAACAGCAGCTCCGTCCCTGTAGACAGCTACATAACATTCCTGCTGCTGGTCAGTGATTCCATCTCCTCCACATCAGTGGACATCGGTGGACAAGACTCCTGCATCCCCGTCCTTCAGACTCTCACACCATCAGCCAGAAGTAGCTTCCCTCTCTCCACCTTTCTACTGTCTCCATCCACAGAGGGACTGAAATATGCCTTGTTTGGGAGGCACTTGGGAAGTCATGGCAACTTGATCATCAATGCATCAACAACTAGCCCCACACCCAGTCAGTCTTTAACATCACTGGATGTAGCGTATGAGAAGATGGAGGTTGGCCAGTGTACTAATGACACCATTGTGAATGGAACATCCAGGAGTATTCAAGGTGCTCCTGTGTACTTTAGAAGCCGTGATTTGTACTTGAGTCTGACCAGTACAGTTTCCTGTGTGTTAACCTCCCAGAACTACAACTGGACAGTGATGTCTTACAAAGAGGAAGATACCAGTATGTGTTATAGAGAGGAAGATTTTGAAGATGTCACCTTGGATGTTGGCAGTTTGACCAGTGAAGTTCTTCACATCTCTGCAGGGTCTTTACCTAAGGGTTACTACAGAATAGGTGTGACCTTTGAAAATCATGACTCCCATTCTTCTGTTGGCACCAGAACTCTTTATGTGAGTAATTTTTCTCATTACTACATGCATGTTGCTTTCTGTTTTGTGTAGGGAATTTTAAATTCTTTACATTGATTCATTCCAGGGTTTTCTCCAGGTTGTGAATGAGCCCCTGATTGTGGTGATGTCCCCCAGCGTCACACATCTGGTCCATGACAGAAATCTCCCTCTTGTCCTCAATGCCAGTGCCAGCTACAACCCCAATGTTGGCCTTCACACTACAATCAGGTATTGTTAGTACACAAGTACGCCAATACAGTATTTGAATACACATTGCTTTTGTTTGATTAATAATTTCACATGGATGCGAAAACACAGATCATATATTCATGAAGGTTCCGGTGAGGTAAATAAGTTAAAGCTGCAGCGTGTACAGCAGCTTGAGAAAGAAGTTTTTCATGTCCTTCTTTTCACTTCTGTCTTTGGAGTATTTCCATTAAATACCCTTTTCTATTTTTTTAAATATTAGTCTGAACTTGAAGCTGTGTGATATTAAGTGTGTATGCCAGAGCTATTTCAGTTATGGTCTGAACTGAGAGTGTTTTACTTCAGGTTTTCATGGCATTGCCAAATGGATGGTCAGCCCTGTGACTGTGTGCCTAGGATGTGGCCTGGTGTTGGAAATGACACTGAAATAATTCCTCACACTGGTATGATGAGCAGACATTGTGTATTCTGTGGTGATATTTCTAAATATGTTTTTTTATTTTCATGAGGAATTCCCCTTCTTTCAAGGTCAAACCATATGGAATTACACTTTGAATTGTCACTCTTTCAGAACCATAAAATGGGATTGATTGATCAGATGCATTGCTTGTATGAGTTCCAAACCAGAAGGAAGATTTTGTTCCAGACATCAATATGGAGTATAAAGCACTGATAACAATAAAACTGATTTCCCCAAAGATTGTTCTTAATTATGTCCAGAGATACTTAATCATGAAATATGGGGTAAAACACATTGTTTACAATCTGTTCAGACCCTGTACTGAGGATTGAGGGCCGACATTTGACTGTAGGTCAGAATTACTCCTTCACTGTGACCCTAGACTCAGACAATGTGACTGGCAGCAACCACACTGTCTTGGTGACGGCCACTGGTGTTGTCAGCCTGCAACTGGAAATCAAGTAAGTGAGATGTGGTGGTAAGACCTTGTCAGTAAATAATGACATGCACTCTCGTACCAACAGCTGCAGGTTATGTTTTATGTCCCGATGAGACTAACTACAAACCAAATAAAGCTGAGTGCTGTAAATGTTTTCAAGATGTCCTTGGGTGCTGGTGGGTTGTCTGCAGATTAGAACATGTTCATTTCCACTTCAGCTGTTCATCAGTGGGTGTTTCTGCAGAGTCTGTGACACTGACAGTAACCTGCTCTAACTGTGATGGACTGGGCAGTGTCAGCTACACGTGGGCCATACACAAAGATCAAGTGGGGGCGCTGCCTCCTCAGCTTTGGGAGGGTCATGCTGTGTTGAACAGTGACAAGTTAACACTGACTTTACCTGGATACTTCTTCAACCCATTTGAGGTCTACAACATCAGTGTCACAGGTGAACACAGCATCTGCTGAGGTTGGAACAGGGAACAATGTTATTTAATGTACTCTCATTAGAGATGTGTAAAGCATCATAACATGTTCATGTTCAGGGAACAAGTTGACCTATTCGTGTAAGCTCCTGCAACTCACTACATTGCTGTGGGATACCAGAAACCTGTGATATTGAGTTGACATCCTAGATCCACCCTGATCCTGGACCACGGTCTACTAAGCTGACATAGCACTAAGTAAAAGTGATCATAGCTCCCATACTTTAACATAGACTTGTCACTGGTATAGCACTGTGATTGTAGAAGAGGGTCCAGAACACTTGGGGTCTACAAAAGTGGAAAAGACCTATCATCTGGATCTACCCCATGAAGCTGAAATGCTGCAAAATAACTGAAATATAACACATGATGCTTACTCATGTTGACTAAATTGAATTATACTTTATGAGTGTATGTATTCTATTCAGCAGAGAAACTGTGCAATATCTTTGTTTATTATTGTTGATGAAAGTTTTTATTTCAGCCATAACCAACGCTTCAGCTGTGGGTTCTGCTTTCCACGTGATACCAGCCAGAGGTAGGTGTCAGTCAGCGCCATCTTGACATACACCCAGTTGGGACCTAAGTATGTCCCCTGAATCTGACTTGGCATGATCAAAGTTGGAGAGGGATTAACAGGACTGCATGGTTTGGGGGTGCTATTTCTAATAACTTTTCAGGTCATTTAAAGTTCCTGTTGATAAAAAAACAAAAACACCTCTTATTGCAATGTTTGAACAGGATATTGTCCTCAGTTAAACTAGATTAAATAGTAGGAAAGTTAAAACATGTCATTGCATTGTCTGTTTGTCTGGCTTTACACCATCCACTGTGCTATGCTTTGTTGGCATTATTATAAAGGTACCTGGACCCTATGAGTTGTGTGCTCTTTTTGAAAGTATTTGCAGTTTTAAAGGCATGTGTGGCTGAAGGCCTCAAAACTGAAGGAACTATAGTTTTTTTACATGTTGAGCATGATCTCACAGAATCCATCATGGCAGGATATTTTTTTTCCAGAGGACAAGATGTACATAACGTCCAACAGCAACAGCAGCTCCGTCCCTGTAGACAGCTACATAACATTCCTGCTGCTGGTCAGTGATTCCATCTCCTCCACATCAGTGGACATCGGTGGACAAGACTCCTGCATCCCCGTCCTTCAGACTCTCACACCATCAGCCAGAAGTAGCTTCCCTCTCTCCACCTTTCTACTGTCTCCATCCACAGAGGGACTGAAATATGCCTTGTTTGGGAGGCACTTGGGAAGTCATGGCAACTTGATCATCAATGCATCAACAGCTAGCCCCACACCCAGTCAGTCTTTAACATCACTGGATGTAGTGTATGAGAAGATGGAGGTTGGCCAGTGTACTAATGACACCATTGTGAATGGAACATCCAGGAGTATTCAAGGTGCTCCTGTGTACTTTAGAAGCCGTGATTTGTACTTGAGTCTGACCAGTACAGTTTCCTGTGTGTTAACCTCCCAGAACTACAACTGGACAGTGATGTCTTACAAAGAGGAAGATACCAGTATGTGTTATAGAGAGGAAGATTTTGAAGATGTCACCTTGGTTGTTGGCAGTTTGACCAGTGAGGTTCTTCACATCTCTGCAGGGTCTTTACCTCAGGGTTACTACAGAATAGGTGTGACCTTTGAAAATCATGACTCCCATTCTTCTGTTGGCACCAGAACTCTTTATGTGAGTAATTTTTCTCATTACTACATGCATGTTGCTTTCTGTTTTGTGTAGGGAATTTTAAAATCTTTACATTGATTCATTCCAGGGTTTTCTCCAGGTTGTGAATGAGCCCCTGATTGTGGTGATGTCCCCCCAGCGTCACACATCTGGTCCATGACAGAAATCTCCCTCTTGTCCTCAATGCCAGTGCCAGCTACAACCCCAATGTTGGCCTTCACACTACAATCAGGTATTGTTAGTACACAAGTACGCCAATACAGTATTTGAATACACATTGCTTTTGTTTGATTAATAATTTCACATGGATGCGAAAACACAGATCATATATTCATGAAGGTTCCGGTGAGGTAAATAAGTTAAAGCTGCAGCGTGTACAGCAGCTTGAGAAAGAAGTTTTTTCATGTCCTTCTTTTCACTTCTGTCTTTGGAGTATTTCCATTAAATACCCTTTTCTATTTTTTTAAATATTAGTCTGAACTTGAAGCTGTGTGATATTAAGTGTGTATGCCAGAGCTATTTCAGTTATGGTCTGAACTGAGAGTGTTTTACTTCAGGTTTTCATGGCATTGCCAAATGGATGGTCAGCCCTGTGACTGTGTGCCTAGGATGTGGCCTGGTGTTGGAAATGACACTGAAATAATTCCTCACACTGGTATGATGAGCAGACATTGTGTATTCTGTGGTGATATTTCTAAATATGTTTTTTTATTTTCATGAGGAATTCCCCTTCTTTCAAGGTCAAACCATATGGAATTACACTTTGAATTGTCACTCTTTCAGAACCATAAAATGGGATTGATTGATCAGATGCATTGCTTGTATGAGTTCCAAACCAGAAGGAAGATTTTGTTCCAGACATCAATATGGAGTATAAAGCACTGATAACAATAAAACTGATTTCCCCAAAGATTGTTCTTAATTATGTCCAGAGATACTTAATCATGAAATATGGGGTAAAACACATTGTTTACAATCTGTTCAGACCCTGTACTGAGGATTGAGGGCCGACATTTGACTGTAGGTCAGAATTACTCCTTCACTGTGACCCTAGACTCAGACAATGTGACTGGCAGCAACCACACTGTCTTGGTGACGGCCACTGGTGTTGTCAGCCTGCAACTGGAAATCAAGTAAGTGAGATGTGGTGGTAAGACCTTGTCAGTAAATAATGACATGCACTCTCGTACCAACAGCTGCAGGTTATGTTTTATGTCCCGATGAGACTAACTACAAACCAAATAAACCTGAGTGCTGTAAATGTTTTCAAGATGTCCTTGGGTGCTGGTGGGTTGTCTGCAGATTAGAACATGTTCATTTCCACTTCAGCTGTTCATCAGTGGGTGTTTCTGCAGAGTCTGTGACACTGACAGTAACCTGCTCTAACTGTGATGGACTGGGCAGTGTCAGCTACACGTGGGCCATACACAAAGATCAAGTGGGGGCGCTGCCTCCTCAGCTTTGGGAGGGTCATGCTGTGTTGAACAGTGACAAGTTAACACTGACTTTACCTGGATACTTCTTCAACCCATTTGAGGTCTACAACATCAGTGTCACAGGTGAACACAGCATCTGCTGAGGTTGGAACAGGGAACAATGTTATTTAATGTACTCTCATTAGAGATGTGTAAAGCATCATAACATGTTCATGTTCAGGGAACAAGTTGACCTATTCGTGTAAGCTCCTGCAACTCACTACATTGCTGTGGGATACCAGAAACCTGTGATATTGAGTTGACATCCTAGATCCACCCTGATCCTGGACCACGGTCTACTAAGCTGACATAGCACTAAGTAAAAGTGATCATAGCTCCCATACTTTAACATAGACTTGTCACTGGTATAGCACTGTGATTGTAGAAGAGGGTCCAGAACACTTGGGGTCTACAAAAGTGGAAAAAGACCTATCATCTGGATCTACCCCATGAAGCTGAAATGCTGCAAAATAACTGAAATATAACACATGATGCTTACTCATGTTGACTAAATTGAATTATACTTTATGAGTGTATGTATTCTATTCAGCAGAGAAACTGTGCAATATCTTTGTTTATTATTGTTGATGAAAGTTTTATTTCAGCCATAACCAACGCTTCAGCTGTGGGTTCTGCTTTCCACGTGATACCAGCCAGAGGTAGGTGTCAGTCAGCAGCCATCTTGACATACACCCAGTTGGGACCTAAGTATGTCCCCTGAATCTGACTTGGCATGATCAAAGTTGGAGAGGGATTAACAGGACTGCATGGTTTGGGGGTGCTATTTCTAATAACTTTTCAGGTCATTTAAAGTTCCTGTTGATAAAAAACAAAAACACCTCTTATTGCAATGTTTGAACAGGATATTGTCCTCAGTTAAACTAGATTAAATAGTAGGAAAGTTAAAACATGTCATTGCATTGTCTGTTTGTCTGGCTTTACACCATCCACTGTGCTATGCTTTGTTGGCATTATTATAAAGGTACCTGGACCCTATGAGTTGTGTGCTCTTTTTGAAAGTATTTGCAGTTTTAAAGGCATGTGTGGCTGAAGGCCTCAAAACTGAAGGAACTATAGTTTTTTTACATGTTGAGCATGATCTCACAGAATCCATCATGGCAGGATATTTTTTTTTCCAGAGGACAAGATGTACATAACGTCCAACAGCAACAGCAGCTCCGTCCCTGTAGACAGCTACATAACATTCCTGCTGCTGGTCAGTGATTCCATCTCCTCCACATCAGTGGACATCGGTGGACAAGACTCCTGCATCCCCGTCCTTCAGACTCTCACACCATCAGCCAGAAGTAGCTTCCCTCTCTCCACCTTTCTACTGTCTCCATCCACAGAGGGACTGAAATATGCCTTGTTTGGGAGGCACTTGGGAAGTCATGGCAACTTGATCATCAATGCATCAACAGCTAGCCCCACACCCAGTCAGTCTTTAACATCACTGGATGTAGTGTATGAGAAGATGGAGGTTGGCCAGTGTACTAATGACACCATTGTGAATGGAACATCCAGGAGTATTCAAGGTGCTCCTGTGTACTTTAGAAGCCGTGATTTGTACTTGAGTCTGACCAGTACAGTTTCCTGTGTGTTAACCTCCCAGAACTACAACTGGACAGTGATGTCTTACAAAGAGGAAGATACCAGTATGTGTTATAGAGAGGAAGATTTTGAAGATGTCACCTTGGTTGTTGGCAGTTTGACCAGTGAGGTTCTTCACATCTCTGCAGGGTCTTTACCTCAGGGTTACTACAGAATAGGTGTGACCTTTGAAAATCATGACTCCCATTCTTCTGTTGGCACCAGAACTCTTTATGTGAGTAATTTTTCTCATTACTACATGCATGTTGCTTTCTGTTTTGTGTAGGGAATTTTAAAATCTTTACATTGATTCATTCCAGGGTTTTCTCCAGGTTGTGAATGAGCCCCTGATTGTGGTGATGTCCCCCAGCGTCACACATCTGGTCCATGACAGAAATCTCCCTCTTGTCCTCAATGCCAGTGCCAGCTACAACCCCAATGTTGGCCTTCACACTACAATCAGGTATTGTTAGTACACAAGTACGCCAATACAGTATTTGAATACACATTGCTTTTGTTTGATTAATAATTTCACATGGATGCGAAAACACAGATCATATATTCATGAAGGTTCCGGTGAGGTAAATAAGTTAAAGCTGCAGCGTGTACAGCAGCTTGAGAAAGAAGTTTTTCATGTCCTTCTTTTCACTTCTGTCTTTGGAGTATTTCCATTAAATACCCTTTTCTATTTTTTTTAAATATTAGTCTGAACTTGAAGCTGTGTGATATTAAGTGTGTATGCCAGAGCTATTTAAGTTATAGCCTGAACTGAGAGTGTTTAACTTCAGGTTTTCATGGCATTGCCAAATGGATGGTCAGCCCTGTGACTGTGTGCCTGGGATGTGGCCTGGTGTTGGAAATGACACTGAAATAATTCCTCACACTGGTAAGATGGACAAACATTGTTTATACTGTGGTGACAACTCTTTATTTGGGTTTTTAGGAGAAATTCCAAGGTTACATAACTGATAATTCCACTGAAACTCTAAATCTTTTCCTCTTTAGATCATTAAATAAGATTGATTGATGAGCTGCATTGTCTGTAGGTGTAGTTTTTGTTCAAGACATCAATCCATAACGTAGAGAACCTGTAACAATATTTCAATTGAAAAAGAAAACTGATTTACTTGCAGTTATCCCTCAAAGGTTTGAGGAGTAAAGGAGATACTTGAACATTTATAATACGTAAACTTTGCTATCTGTTCAGACCCAGTACTGAGGATTGAAGGCCGACATTTGACTGTAGGTCAGAACTACTCCTTCACTGTGACCCTAGACTCAGACAATGTGACTGGCAGCAACCACACTGTCTTGGTGATGGCCACTGGTGATGTCAGTCTTCATTTTAACATCAGGTCTGTGTCTGAGTGGAACTTATCACTCATTAGAGGATTCCTCAGGATTCTTTTAGTTGATCTTGTATACAGGATGCATAAAAGTTATCCAAAAATAATAATAAAGACTTTTTGAATGTTTCCAAGATTGTCCCCTGCCGCAACGCGGAATGGGGTCTTATGTATTCAGCATTGTACCCAATGTCTTCAAATTTGGTGACAGCCTACATTGGTGATTATCTTGCCTCACACATAAATGTCGTTTTCTGATTGGCTGAGCGCCCTTCTGAGTACCCCGCTGAAAATGCCGAACTCATTTGGTACTACATAGTAGTAATTCTTTATCTCGAATAACATTGAATCATGTATGATGTACGGAAATTACTAATGTTTTGTGAATGCAAATCGATGTAAGGGAGATAACGCTAAATGTTTTTCTTGTCGTCTGGTACTCCATACTATGATTTGATGCCTGTGCTTCAAACAGTTCAAAATTACCATTGAGGTGTTCAGTAAGATAAATACATTGTTCACTGGTCCCTCGGGGCCCATTGGTTGATGTACCCTCCATGTTTCTCTATGTTCCCCTCGCCCTTCGGGCTCAGGGAACATAAACAAACATCGAGGGTACACAACTTATATTATACAGACACCAGTTTATTTGGGTGACCTTGACCTTATTTGCGGCAGGGGGACATTGCCATGTTAGTGGCAAACACTTGTCATATATTTGAAGTAATGATTGTAGCTTCATGGAATAATTTTCTTTGCGATTGCAAAATGTCATAACCTTGAGAGAGTGGTTCTTCAGTCAAAAGGTCCAGATTTACTCAGTTTTTCTGAATTGTAGTTAGATGTGGTGTCAGTTAAAAGTTGAAAGGGCCACAGAGGCTGCCAAGTCATCTATGGCACCATTTTCTCTATTCAGAAACATATAAGGATTCGAATCTTGGTTTGCCCCAATTATGTTCTAACCTCATGTTCTATTTTCAGATGCATCATCATCCTTTGTACATATGTTTCTACTCCGTCAGTAGCCATTTTACCTGTTTCAGATGCATAAGTGGATGTGGAAGGACATTTGCACCATCAGAAATGGTTTCCTTCAAAGTGAGCTGCTCAAATTGTTATGGAACAGTGAAATACTCATGGAGGGTTGAACGTAACGGGAGAGAGGTCCTGCCAGTGACCTCATTGACACCACAAGCTGTGGTTGGCAGTGACGGATCTCTCACGGTACCTGCCCGTACCTTATTGCCATGGGACAGCTACAACTTCATTGTGCGAGGTAAGAAATCATGCTGTGAGTTGGTCGGCCTTCAATGGTGTATGGTGTGATTTAAGCTGAAGGGGTCGTTGTCGGCACGGGTACTACAGATATGTACCCCAGGTATGTTTCTGTATACAGAAACATACCCTGGCCATAATGAGAATACAGAAACGTACCCTAGGAAGATTCTATTCCCATTGTGTCGTATTCTTGATCGGAACTGTCATACTGTTGTATTAGATACATTTTATTGCGTTATGTAAGTAATGAGAATACACAGTAACGGATATTTCGCGATGATGAATACCACTCGAATCAGTTGAACGGGAACAACTACATGCAGTTTCAGAAACGGTTTTGGATTACCTGAATATGGACTCGTCCGCCTTTGAGGGTGCACCGGATGGTATGTTTCTGTATTTTGACTTTGTTTAGGGTACATATTGCTGCCTGGCAGAAACGCACAGGCTAGGACACACCATGTGCCTTGAAGGAATGGTTGATCTCTAGTACCTGTGACCTAAGTGTCGATCCCTTCATTAGAATCTGATATATTCCTCAAGTTTGATAAACAGTGTTTGGTGGGTGTTCCGTTCTGAGTTTTAGGCCCATGTGCTTCAACCTAGAGAATTTTAATGTTGCTGTGAGTGATGTCCCTGGGTAAAATCACATGGCGAACTTCTGTATTTACAACATTCAATGTGTACAGGTCAGATGTTTGACAGAAAATAGACCACTTAAATGCATGCAAGTCTCATGAGTAACATATGTTATATTTGGAATTACACTTTCTTAGTAAAGTACAAATTCTAGTTCATTTGTTGGGTTTGAGTCCCATCCTAGATTCGAACCCACACCCTCAGAGTCAGGCACCTAATCGCCAGCACACAAAGTCAGCCACCACGGCTTCCACAAAAGTGGAAGTTGGACAACTGGTAGTCCAGACCGTGGACTTTGTGTACCCCTCTGATAAGTGTAAATTGGCATGGCTCCCGATGGCCGAAAGCTATGAATACACAATGCCATTTAGAAAGCGGTCAGATGTAACATATGTTATATTTGGGATTACACTTTCTTAGTAAAGTACGGATTCTAGTAATTTTGTTGGGTTGAGTCCCATCCAGGATCTGTGCCAATTTACAATTATCAGAGGGGTACATAAATTCCGCAGTCTAGACTACCAGTTGTCCGACTTCCATCTTTGTGGAAGCCTCGGTGGCTGAGTGGGTTAGACAGTTGACTGTGTGCTGGTGATTAGCTAGGTGCCTGACTCTGAGGGTGTGGGTTCGAATCCGGGAAGGCATTGTGTATTCACAACTCTCATGAGGTTTCTATCAACATGGAAAATATTTTAATCGGACATATTCCGGAATTGTTTAAGAGTGATAAAGGTTCTGACTTTTGAAAATGTTAGTGAAGCAGTCCAGTGCAAATGACTACTCTTGAATTCCATACATTTATTCATTTAAGACTATTCCATTTAAAGGTCACATGCAACCAAAACATCAAACATAATTAAAACACAATTATCACTTCTTTATGACATATAATATGCATTGCTGATTATGAAAAAACAAATAAACAAAATTATAAGCGTATAATCGCAATATTTTGTACTTGGGTTTACCTCCCTCGAAACGAAGCAGCCGGGATACCGAACCCAGTCAGAGCGGGTGGGTGTGCACTCAAGTGTAACGGCTGGTTCATTTGCAGATGCCGCCTCCACGGCTCATTGTGTGTGTATATATAGAGATGTTGGGTTTTGTAAATACATGCTCATTTTTTGTGTATAACATTTTGCAATCAACAGACATCATAACATGTCATGTGTTCAAGCATCACACCTGCCTGTCTGTGTAATTACATAATGTGACAGAGACCGAACTCAAGCCATATATCAGTGCGTTTTGTTTATGGTGTATAGCCTGATTGGTGTTAAGTTCAAATTGCATGTGGTCAGTGGTCGCAGTTGTGTATTGAATATTGTCATTAGCAGACAGGCAGGCAGACACACAGGTGTCAATAAAACTAGACATTGAGTTTTGTCTGTGACAACGACATATCTATATCACAGTTAGAAATTGTGTCAACGCTAAATAATGACATTGCTTTTAAGTATGGAACTGAGAAAGTGACTCGGTAAGAAGAACGTGTGGTGAAATAGACAAATGAAATTATATAAACAGTTTATTTACTGTCATAACATATAAAAAGCTCGCGCCTGTGAGACATCAACAAAACATTATGAAAATAGCTCACACCAAAGCCTTCACCGAGTATTCACCAGACAGCCCGCTTCCAAGTTGCGCGAACCTATTTCACAGCGCACATGCTATGAGCGCACCCCAGCTGTTGAAACCCGTTTTCCCCCGAAATTTTTTGGGGAAAGTTAGTGAATCGTTTGAACTCCGATTTCGCGCGGGTTATTTTTCAACTTTATAACTTGAATTTGCATTTTTGATGATTTGTTTCGCTACGTCAATACTGAAAGGTATCAGAATCTGCAAAGTTGTGTTTTACGTTGCATGTGACCTTTAAAGAAACTATAGAAATTTATTGTGGCTTAAAGATAAAACAGAAAACATTTGAAGTGCTTGAAAACTTAATATTCTTATTTACGGTCAAGCTCTTCTTTAAAATGAATTTAGCACTAAAGGTCATTAAAAATAGTTAGGATATTTACTAAGCTCTCTGCATACTGATACAATTATTACCGGCATCACCTTGCAGACTTTATGTGTTTCCAGGTAGCATGCCAAGGTTAGTTTTTTATAAATCTTTGCCGTTATAATATTTGAATTCTTATCGCAATATCATCCCACTAGGTACGCCTTTACACCTGGAACACAAATTCCTGTCTTTAAATATATGTCTTTGCCAAAACCTTTGGAGTGTAGTATTGCCCTAACTTGTCATTTGAGCTACTTTCATCATTATGTTTATTTGAGTATATGACCTGTTTTACTAGAGCCAAGCTATGTCTATAAGTGAAGACTAGTATGGTAAATAGATGACCCTACTGACCTACTCATCAGCTTCCCTGGATCTGCCACCTTGGCCCTGTGTTTGTGTTGGCACATAAACATTTAACTAGGTATCATTGTAAATATTGTGATGCTTCTTAGAAATCTTGTTCATGTTATCATGGTTCTGCTTCTTGTATTCGTTTTTTGTTTTTTCTTGAAAGGTACAATCAACCCTTCAGGTGAAGCAAACTTTAGTGTTGGCTTTGATGGTGAGTATGAACTATTATAGCAGATGATATAGATTTCATTGCTCACCTACAGATATCGTTAATCAGACTCTGTTAAATGTCTATCTGTTTGACTATAAACTATAACATGTTTCAGTAGTTTGCACATTTATTTATCTGGTGATCCTTTGGTGATGCATGTCATGACTCATGATGAAAGCAAGGAATTCAACAGCTATTTTAGTGCGAAGGTTGTTGGACAGAATATCAAAGTTGAGGTTGATTTTGTTAATGGACATGTACTGCTGGATGGTGGAGCTATTGGAGTAAACCAGGTGAAGTCATTTATCAGGTCATAGACGCTTTCCGAGAAACAACTGCGCTGTATGTACACGCAGTGAGTTGAACAGAATAGCAATCCAGCCGACTGCTTCGCTTGGATGAAGTTGGCTGGTCTTAAAAGTGAAACAGAGGGCTTTCTTTTTGCTGCCAAGGACAAGTCACATACTCACTATCAATTGCCCACATGTGATTCTTTGAGAGAATGTGAATATAATCAAATGTGTCGTTTATGGAATGAATTTGCTGAGACTGTTCAACAGGTTGTCAGGGGATGTCCTTCCTTGGCACAAACAGCATATCTTAAACCATACGATAGCATGGCTTTTTGCTTCTGTTACCATACTCGCCATGCCTGTGGCTTTGACCCTGAGGTCCACTGATGGTACAACAATGAACATGTAGAGAGCCTCATCGAAAATCATACTTTTAAACTTCTTTAGAATAGGCCCATATACCGCCTAATACAAATTCCAGCTATATACCTGATCTTGTCCTTTTTGTTAAAGCAAATGATTGTATTAGTGTGATTGAATTTTCTGTCATTTTTGACAGCAATGTGATTGGCAGATTTAGGAATAGCATGATAAATATACAGGCCTTGCTTGCATCCCAAGTACGCTTGGCACCCCATTGTCAGGTGCCCAATTGTTCTTGGTGCCCTTGGTTTGCTACCTCCTGATGTCTTGAAGCAGATCAGGGGTGTGCCCACCATTCGTAGAGGGGAAACGGTACCTGAGTTGATGATGAGCCTTTCAGGACTGCTCAACCTCTTTTTGCTGCATTCTATTTTAATCTGTATTGTTATTTAGGTCAGTATTGTTATTTATGGTGCTGGTGGTGGTGTAAAGGGTAACCAGTTGAAAACAGATGACATTATTCAATTAAACTGCATTCTCTGATCTCTGATGAGTACACACATAAGTTCTTTTATTTCAGATATCCATGTGTTCCTCATGCCCCAAGAAATCAGTATAAATGCAGAGAATCCTCTCCTGTTCCTTGTACAGAGGAGCTCCTCCGCTGAAGATTCGATTCAGCTGACACTGGATGGCAGATACATGTGTATGTCAAACTTGTCAGTAATAACAGCAGCAAAAAGAGCCACTTATCCTCTTTCCTTCTTCAGCCTGGTAGAGGAAACTGACACTATGGGTTACCAAGTCATCAGTCATCAGTTTAACAAACCAGGCATGTACAACATCACGGCAAGCACCAACGTCAGTGATGAAACTTTCTCTTCAACATTAACAGTCGGTGTACAAAATACAGGAGGTTGCTCAATGAGTGTCGAAATCCTTGGTACTGGGGAGAGTTTGCTGACTGCTAAAGAGTACACTATGAGTAAAGAAATGCATTTCACATCGACGTACTCATCTGTGTGTGAGGATGTAACTGCTTTGTCTTACAACTGGACAGTATCCCAAGACTTGATAGGTGATCCACATAGATGCAGGTTTGAAGATGACTTTCAGAAGGTGACCCTGCCAGAGACCTCTGGGGTATCACTTCATATCGCCAGCAAGATACTGCCCCAGGGCTACAACCAGCTGTGCGTAGTGATTGTCTTTAGCATGGGATCTGATGAATCCCAGAGTCGGCAATGTGTGAGTACAAAACTGTTTTGTTTTTTAAATCAACTGCGTAGAGCTCAGGTCACAAATCAGTTGAAGTTAAGCAATGTTGGGTCGTTGAATGGATACCCATGTTTGGCAGCTTGACTCCTGAGAGTTTCTAGGATTTCAGTCCTGCCCAACAACATAGCATGTTGTTATGCATGTTGTTTACGGGACCAGGTCCCTCCCAAGAGCTCAATTTAAATTTTTATTTTTCAAATTGAGCCCTTGGGAAGTCCCTAATCCTGTAGCCCCATTGTATATACTACTACTGAGGTGCATGCAAAATGTGATGAAAATCGGTTGAATAGTTTCTGAAATATTTGACTTTTAAGTGAGCACTGGGTCGGTCTGGAAAAAGGCTCGGTGTACGGATGGCTGGCTGGCTGGCTACATTAAGCAGAAAAATAGGCATGCAAGACTGTGTCGTGAGGTACGATCATCAACTCCTCTCTGACGAATGCTCTCGGTGGTCCGTCTTTCAAGTAGTACAAGTTCGGTTCGCCGTCTTTGATGTCGACAAGGTCTATGTTGTACGTTTTCATGGACCATATCGGATCGTGGTGCATTTTCGACAGATTTCATTTTGATGGCTTCGACGGGTCTCTTGCCCACGAGTCTGGTGACTTCGTCGATGATGACATCCACCACTCGCGGTAAGCGTACGACCCATTCCGTGTTTCTGTTTCCGGGATCCATTAAATCCTGCGAGTATTGGTGTGAGAACAGACGTTCGGCTAAGGTGCGATTGAATTTCTCGACTATGGCTTGGCTACGGTGAGCTCCTGCCACACCTCGTCTCACTTGGACTTTGTGCTTGGCCAGCAGCTGTGACACGGCTCCCATGAACTCGCGTCCGGGATTGATTTGCAATACGGCAGGCCATGTCAAGCGACTGCGTTTGTCTATGCGTTCTAAGGCTTTGGCGACTTCGTTCGAATCTTTGGTCATCAACGGTTCGGCTTCCTTGTAGCGACTGGCAACGTTGACGACTGTCAGGGCGTACTTGTAGGTTTTATGTCTTACCTTGTCGTGAGGGAGAAACAGGTGGTCGGCTGGGTGGATGCGATTCGGCGTTGAAATGTCGAATTTTCTTCTCGGGATGTATTGAGGTGCCGGCAGGTAGACTTGCCAGATGGCTTGTTTTTTAAGCCAAGCTTTGGCGCCGTCTTCCGAGACTCGAGCGGCTTTGGCGAGTTTCGGGATGGTGTCCGTGCCTTTCCAGTACCCGCGTAGGCTGTAATAAATTTTCTCCATGATGTATGTACACATGTGTGCGTAAGTGTTGAATTATTCAATACGCGTTTGTGCCCGTACGCTTAAGTGGCGACTCCGTCAATGGCGATCCATCGTTTCGTGTCCAGCGAGGTCTTGTTGATTCTCAGTCCGCATATCCTGTGTCCGTCGCTTCTCAGCATGTTCATTTGGTGTATAGTTTTATTCTTGAACAGGGCTTCCTTGAATCTGGCGTGTTTGATGTGTTTTTTTACCACGTTTTTTTTCACGCCTTTCACCTTTCGGATTTCATCGGCATCGGCTTTCTTGATTGAATACATCTTGGGTCTCAAGCAGACGCGGCGATCGGCGTGCCAGCGCATTCGTCCTTCATATTGCCGAGCACGTTTTTGTTGACTTGGCTGTGCATAGGGTGATCTTTAGGGTAGTCGCTGGTGTTGTACAGGTGCATGTGTTTCTTCATGTCTTCGTACACGTCCTCGGTGTGAATTTCCATCAGCAGGGAATCTGTGTCCGTGTACAGCACTTCGCCCCTTTTGCCGTACTGCTATTTCAGCTCGTTGTAGTAGAAATCGTACATCAAGTGTTTGGATAAGTCGAGGATGCTCATCCCCACATAAACAGGCCGGTTGAATTTGATGTGGCTTTTGTTCATGTGCAGCGCTGCCAAGTCGTCGTCGAATATCTTGCTTCGGTTGAACGCCGGGCTGGCTATGAGTTTCCTGAGTTTTTCTTCCTCACTGTCTCTGACTAATTTCACGTTAACGCGTTTTCTCAAATTCTCCATCGTCTTGCCCAACACCGAGTTGTTCATGAGCTTGTACAGGTGTTTTTCGAAGTCTTATTATTTTTGTGGTGCTTGGCTAAACCACCTTTTATACCGGCGGCGACTTTTTTAGGATTTTTGGTGGTGGTGACTTCTTGTATCAGTGTCGTCGTTGCTTCTTCCTCCGTTGGTGTTGACGTTTTCTCCTCTCTGGTGCGCATCCATGTTGTATATTATTATCATTATTATTTTTCTTCTTTAAAGTGACAATGCTTTGCCGTGATGATCGGAGCTAAAAACATGCCGTATCTGTGGTACAGCACGCAGCTGACGGCGCTCAAAGCGTGGTCGATGAACGGATCTTTCTCGAGATCTTCCCACAGGTAAAGTCGACGTTCCGGCAGAATGGGAAGTAAGTACAACGCTACGCCGGCGTAGACTTTCGTTATGACAGACCCTATGGTTTTCATCATTTCGGCTCCGAGTCTGGCTTCGTATCTCGCATACAGCTTGTCGATTTCTTCAGCTGGCGTTTTGTGAATTTTATCGAGAGTGTGGTCGCCCCAACCACCCAAGTATTATTTTGGCTTTGCCGCTGACCGCGAACGCCACCAGTCTCTCTCGCTTGTCGTTTTTATTATTATTATCATTGTCATCCAACATTTGTTTGAGCAGTTCGTCGCACTCCATCTTTGATGTAACAAGCGGTTTTTAAGTCTAATAAAATAAAATGTGATGGACGCGAAACACAGCAAGATGAAAGTCAAGTTGCACACAACGATAGTTACGAACATTGGTTTTTGCTTGAGTTATGCTAGAATTTTGCTTGAATTTTGCTAGAATTTTGCTTAAAAGTCGAGGATGCTCATCCCCACATAAACAGGCCGGTTGAATTTGATGTGGCTTTTGTTCATGTGCAGCGCTGCCAAGTCGTCGTCGAATATCTTGCTTCGGTTGAACGCCGGGCTGGCTATGAGTTTCCTGAGTTTTTCTTCCTCACTGTCTCTGACTAATTTCACGTTAACGCGTTTTCTCAAATTCTCCATCGTCTTGCCCAACACCGAGTTGTTCATGAGCTTGTACAGGTGTTTTTCGAAGTCTTATTATTTTTGTGGTGCTTGGCTAAACCACCTTTTATACCGGCGGCGACTTTTTTAGGATTTTTGGTGGTGGTGACTTCTTGTATCAGTGTCGTCGTTGCTTCTTCCTCCGTTGGTGTTGACGTTTTCTCCTCCTGGTGCGCATCCATGTTGTATATTATTATCATTATTATTTTTTCTTCTTTAAAGTGACAATGCTTTGCCGTGATGATCGGAGCTAAAAACATGCCGTATCTGTGGTACAGCACGCAGCTGACGGCGCTCAAAGCGTGGTCGATGAACGGATCTTTCTCGAGATCTTCCCACAGGTAAAGTCGACGTTCCGGCAGAATGGGAAGTAAGTACAACGCTACGCCGGCGTAGACTTTCGTTATGACAGACCCTATGGTTTTCATCATTTCGGCTCCGAGTCTGGCTTCGTATCTCGCATACAGCTTGTCGATTTCTTCAGCTGGCGTTTTGTGAATTTTATCGAGAGTGTGGTCGCCCCAACCACCCAAGTATTATTTTGGCTTTGCCGCTGACCGCGAGCGCCACCAGTCTCTCTCGCTTGTCGTTTTTATTATTATTATCATTGTCATCCAACATTTGTTTGAGCAGTTCGTCGCACTCCATCTTTGATGTAACAAGCGGTTTTTAAGTCTAATAAAATAAAATGTGATGGACGCGAAACACAGCAAGATGAAAGTCAAGTTGCACACAACGATAGTTACGAACATCGGTTTTTGCTTGAGTTATGCTAGAATTTTGCTTGAATTTTGCTAGAATTTTGCTTAAAAGCTAGCAGACTTTATGCACCACGGGTTGGTCGGTTTTCAACAAGAGCTTGGCGTGTTTCGTTTCGGCGAGCTGTTTCTTCACTCATTCTCGTTCTTGTTTGGTCGGGATCACGTCATTTCCTCGCAAGCAGTCCTTGAAGGAATCCCTGTCCTTGCAGTGAAACAGGGCGACCCATCGCATCTGTTCTCGTAAATCTTTCAGCACCCAGTTGAATTTCTGCGTCAAAAACCCAAACGCTGTGCTTCGTGTGTCGGCCCGAGAAGGCCAGGTAAGACAGTGCATCTCGTTTTTTAACCATCTCCTTGTTAGCGCTGCAGTCATCCAGGATGAACAGCGTCGATTCTCCTTTCAGTTTGTCATGGTAAGCGCGCAACCAGTCCTGCAGACGAATTACAGGATCGATTTTGTGCACGTCCGGGTCCGTCATCACCCACGGTCTCTCCATTTACGTCTTCACCCGTAAAGTCGTCACCCATAAAGTCGGGCAGAGAATGACGATGTGGTCGAACACGTCGCGATAGTAACCTTCCAGCATGTTCAACACGAATGCCGTCTTGCCGCACCCCGTCTGACCGCACACGATGGCGCAGTTAGGATCGAGAGGTAAATCAATAAATGGCTTTCACGAATCTTCCATTTTTTATATTGAGTTGCGAGTCCATAATCACGTACAAATATAAATTCAACTTGACGGTAGGATTTTGAGCTTTTTGGGGTAATTTGGATGGTGATCCCCTCGCTGCCGTTGTCGATAACACGTCCGCTGCCGTGTAGTCTGTCGTCGTCCGTGGATTGCATGACCAGCCACAGCGTGTAATACTTATCCAGATACCTACTGAGTGTCACGTAGGTGAAACCCAGGTCTTTGACAACGTCGTTGACTTCAGGCGAGTGTCGCTTGATGGCCGGTAGTTTTCTTTTTCATCCCACTGCTGGTAAGCTCGCATGACTTGGCTGAACAGTTGGTTGGGCACACCCTCGACGATCACTTCCACTTTCGTGATCTCGGGATTCCAAGTGAGTTCGCTGTCTCTTCGAAACGGCTCGTATTCCACCACGGGAATGATCAAGATGCCTTTCATCAATCTAGCTGGCACGTTCAGGTTTAT